CCTTTCCTGAGTTAGGGTTATTTAGTTTAAAGGTTCTGAGAAAGATTGTATTGTGACTAAAGACCTCTTCATCACCATAAATATGTCTGATTTGTTATTACTTCTCATGACAGGTTTGTTAACAAATAAAAGTCCTCTCCCAGCACAGCTCAAAGACAAAAATGAAAGAAAAAAGTGACACAGGGCATAGAATTATTCATCTAGGAGAGTGTTATTAAAAAATAAAAAAAGATGAAAAATGTAGAAACATTAAAATGTTTTTAGAAGATAGGCAAAATGCTTATTTATCACTTTTAGTTTTCAAAAGAAAATTCTGACATCCTGAGAAAAATTTTTAATAAAAGCCACTGATTTCTGTCTCTCTCCTTAAAAGAGATACACGTCTGTATGCTTAAAGCCAGCTATAACTGAATGTGATTAAATTAATCTTTTTATATTAGCAAGAGATAATTACTTTAACATTCTTAGGTACTCTCAATGACTGCAGCTGATGGCAAAATTCCAGAAATTATTAGAAGTATAATTTTTAGGGAGTATATTTCAAAATATTCAGTCCCACTAGAAGCTGTTGAAATGGCTGTTTTCTTAGGAAAAGCAGGGTAAAAATGAATTTCATTACTAAGCTAAATTATATTAAGAAAAGTAATTTTAAGAAACAGGTGAAAAAAACATACTGAGAAAAGGAGATAGGGAGATACAATACACATTCAATTCTTTAGTAGTCTGTTGTGAACACGTTATTAACATGAAGACAGATAAATAACAAATATGGGAGAAAGTCTCTTTATGTCTTCTTGCAGAGTTGAGGACTTTTGTGTTTCTCCTACTCCTTTTTCATTTAGAGGCTATAGATGCACTAGAAACTGGGAGGAGACACATACAGGTCAGCTGACCCCAAATGGCCAAAGGGATATTCCATACTATATGATGATGTTCAGCAATAAACCATGGTGTAAAGAAGTGGAATGTGGAAGGGGGGTGGGAGGAGGAAGGGATGTGTTGAATGGAGGTGGTATGTTTTCATGGAAGCCTTGTATCTAAGCAGATGTCACCACGTACCTCAGGTCAAAACAAGACAAGTGTACAAATCCACCCTAAAAGAAATGCAATTGTTTAGATTGAAAAAAGAACTATATCTTGCTCCACCTTGTCTCTCAAAAAAGACAGCTGAGAGAAAATGGAAAATACCAGGGAACACATCTGCCCCTCAACTCAGGCTTAGCTTCATTTCCCAGGCTCAAACTAACATGAATGAAACAGAGGTCTGGGAAAGTAGGGCCTTGGGATGAACCAGCAAGTGAACTAACTGCATAAAATCAAGGCACATTTTGTACAGCATAGTCTGGTCTTTCTGACAAAATACATCATTCCTTATACTCCTTCTCAGAGATCAGTTAGTGTGTACTTGTAGTTCTTTTTTACATGGCAAGCAGACAAAGAGCCTAGAGATCCAGAGTTTATTAAAATGGAAATTGAAGTAGAAAGCTGAAAGCCCTGCTTTTGTTTTTTTTTTTCCAGCTCCAAATTCTACAGCATTCAAAAGCTAAGAAAATTAGAACTGAAAATGAATGACTTATGTTTTACTTCAGATTCCATATTCTTCCATGAATCAGACTCTCCACCCACAGAAGATGTTTAATAAGTTTTATATCTAAAGATCACTGTCATATCAATAAAGATTGTTGCATCATGACATACACAGTTCAGATAGTTGATTAATTCAAAACATGAATGAAAATCAACAATTTTTGATAAATAGTAAGGATTGAAACAATCAGCCAATTTTAATCTCAAACTTTCTAGTTAAAAATTGCAGGGCTTAGTGAAATTCCTTTGAATAGCTTCTGAAATCTATATTTCTGATTATATAACAAAGGGTCAAGATTTTCTACAAAACATATTTAATGAAAACTTTTCTTCCTCCTACTCTTATTGTTTTATTATCTCTAAGGGAAAATGTTAAAAGAAAAAAAAAAACACAAAAAAATCATTTGTTCAGCCTCACTCTCAGACAGGAAATTGAAGATGAGGTGTTATGAAACTTGCTTAAGACACCTTCAGAAGCCTAAATAAAATCACAAACCTAAATTCAAAAGACAGAATACTCAGAACAAAATATATCATTTTAACTAGTAACTGTCAGTTGTAGGAAAGGCAAAAGATGCAGCAGAACACTGAGAAAATGTTTTATCTGTTAAGCTTTAGACAAATATTCATTAAAAATAAATAAATAAATAAAAATCTTAGTTTGCCAGGTGACTAAATAAACTTGTCCTGAGTTCCAGTAATATTTACAGTATTAATTGCCCTTCTCAGCTACGAGAAAGAGCAAAGGCTCAGGAGAGGAAATATTTAATTAGAATATATCATCACTCAGAGGGTGGTGATGCACTGGATCAGGTTGACCAGAGAGGCTGTGGATGCCCTATCCTTGGAGGAATTCAAGGCCAGACTGGATGTCGCTCTGGGCAGCCTGGTCTAGTGGTTGGCAACCTTGCCCACAGGGGGGTTGAAACTAAATGATCATTGTGGCCCTTTTCAAACCAGGTCATTCTATGATAATTTTATGATGATCTATCTGGAAAAAAAATTGTGCATAATTTGTTGTTTTCTACATGAAGAACAGGGCTGTGCTGACTTATCCATTGCTTCATTGCTAATATTTCAATACTTCAAGAAATTAAAACATTTAAAAATTTAAAATGAAACAATTTAAGAGTTCTCTTTATTTGCAGGACCCAAAGGCCCTTCAGTGTGAGTTTAAGAAGCACAGGAACCTTAAACTAGTTGGTCTGTTGCCAGTAAACCAAGTCTGTTAAAAATAATTCAGAGAAATTTCATAACATCAGCCAGATCTTTGAGTTCTCTCGGATGACTCCCATTGGACCACATAGAATTATGTGCTTTTAGTTGGAGCAGAAAATATTGAATGGGTTCAGAGTCAGCTGTGAAGTTACTGTTCCTATAGTCATAATCCTACAATTCAGAGCCCCAGGTGTCCTGCAGCCCATCACTGATATTAAAGAAAGAGACAAAGGCATCATGAAACATCTTTGCTTTATTTACACCTCTATTTAGGAGGTGACCAACCTCAACAAAAAAATGAAGAAATGATACCTCTGATTCTACTTTTGCCTTTCTCTTATCCCTCACAGTACCAACCAGCTTCAATGTTGGGCTTTAGCTGCACAAAATTTCTCCTTACAATGGCAAACAGCATCTCTATAGCCCTCCCATCTTACCTAACCTCCCTTCAAGGCTATATGCGTTTTTTTCCATAAACTTTAGAAGATCCCTGCTCAACCAAGCTGAACTTTTGCCCTGCATTATTGACTTCCAATTATTCATTCCTGCATGCTAGAGATGGCTCTGAAAAAGTGGCCAGCACTGATGGATCCCACTGCCTTCAAAAGTAGTTTACTGAGCTACATAGTTCTCCGAGCTTCTCAAGCAGCCTGAAGTCTGCTCTCCCCACACCTAAGGGCAGTTTTTTGTGGCAGTTTTTCTCCGTTTTCTTCACTGTTACTTTCAATCCTGGAATTTGTGGAGAATTCAGAAGAATGTGCTGTGACTAATGCTCAGCATTTCTTAATATTGCTTCAATCTGTACAGTAAGTCTGATTATCAATATGAAAAAATACTGTTCTAGCTCTAATAACAGTTATCATATCTTTCTGATATAAACTCTCATTCATGGCACTGATATTCTTTATAAAAAGTAATTTAAAACTCAGAGCAACTCTCTGAACTCTTCTTGACCTATTAGTTCTGGGAGAAATGATTTGCCTGTATTTAAACTGCACATTCACTGCAAACCTGGACAAGAAGCCAGATGCTCTGAATACTAATCTTTTTATATAATCACACAATTGTTTCTTTATTTGCCTCCTTTCCATTGTCATGTTTTACTAATTAAATATTAATAATAAAAGGAACAACTAAACAATTGAACTCCATCATCCGTATGATTTTTTGAATGTGCATTAGAGTTCACAAAGACTGAAGGCTTGAGGCCTGGACTAAGATATTCCTCTTACCTTTTCAACTTCACAGATATTCCCCTTTTATTCTGCCTAGCTATATTCCACATCGTTATCATCAGTATTTATAATTATTTTACATAAAGTCAATGCAAAATTTTCTGAAGAATTTTCCCCATGGAGAAAAGTCATCATTCGGAAGGCATTAGAATTTATTATAATTGTTGAACTATTATCAGTTCTTCACTGAATACAGAGCCAAGACTCTGATCTTGTTGTTTTGTTGAAGTTCAAATTTGAGAACTATTAAGCATAGCGGTCACAGTTATTCTAACAACAAAAACTATGTAACTCATAAAGTCTCACAGTGTTCCTTCGGATCATCATGAATTTTTGTTCTCCTCTTAAAAGAAAAACAATTTATCCTCAGTAATTTTGACAAGAAGAGAAAACACAATCATATTTTCTAATCATCTTAGCCTATAACATTCTGGCATATTGCAAACTATCTGAATGAATCCTGGGGATGTCTGAGATAAGTAACAAATCCACAAGACATCAAGTAGTTAAAAAGAAAAGCAAATAACTTTTCTTTAGGCTATTCTATCAATTAATATTTCTACTGTTCTTATTTCTCCTTTCTCAGACTCTAATCTGGTACAAAATTGATACAAAAAGAGAATCTAGAGACAGCTTTGAACACTACTGGTACTTATTTAAACACTTAATGGCATCAGACTTCTTAAATGCAAGGCAGCCAAAGCAATAGCATCCACCTCTCACATCCTGTCATTATCAATCATTTGACCAAGGCAACCTATAATTAAAGGTGAGTAGATTCAGAGAGTGCTTTTGGGAGGGTGGGAAGCTTCATAAATTAAGATGGAAAGCTAACAAACAAGTACATATTTTTCAAAGGTTAGGATTTTATAAAATTATACAGAGAAAAATTATTTGTTTACTTGTTTTTCAGGAAGAAAGTAAAAGTAGGAGGAACTTATTAGGCTTCTATTCCAGTACCTTAGTTCCTTATTTCCGCCACTGTCTGGTTCTTTACATATCTCCATACATCCTTCATCACTTACTTGCAGGAAAGGAAGATGAATGTACTTAGGTCCTGTTAAAGACGTGGATCAAGAAAATTGTAGGCAAGCAGTCAAGGAGCTGCTTCATTGCTTTTCTTACCAAGAAATAAAATTGTGACAAAATTGAAGTTCTCACAATGAATTTTGAATTGCATCTAGAGGAATTCTCATGCAAGACTTGTGACTTGTTTTGGAAGACTCCCATTTAATTCAATTTAAAACTGTTTTGTCATCCACTGTTCAGCTGCTCTTAGCATCATAAAAATATTATCATTACAGACTACTTAAAAACTACGGTTTTTGTTTTAACTAAGATGGCAATTCTTCGCTACATTTCTGTCACTGTATTTTTCTCCTCTCCCTTGAAGATCTGACAGCTGTAGGACTACATCTCTGTTTTCTGCCACGGCATTTTCCTTCATTTGTTCAAAATCATTTTCAGGTTCTTCAGATCTCATCTCTGTGTTCTATACCCACCCAGCACTTTTGTTTACTTTCACAGTTAATTTTTCAGCTCTAAAAAATTCACTATTATTTTTGGTGACAATCAGAATTTTTATAAAAACAAACTAAAAATTGGAACTTCAGTTAAAGCCTCATAAATCTTCAGCAGGAATTTTCCAGAACATTTAAGAATGTGAAAAATAAGAAATTTGGTTCTCACTATTGACCAACATTACCCCACCACCAATTTTAAAAACATGAACTGCAAGATGAAAAATATAGATGCTGAGTAAGACTAACCAAATTGTTTCATTACAATAAAAGACTGCTGTTTTGAGACTCACCCCATAAATTCCGCTGCACAAGGCATCCATTTTTAAAAACATTTGGGCCCAGACCTACATTTTTCATTGTCTGGAGGTATTCCGTTGTTCCTGCTTCTCTTTCAGGTTAGAGGGGTTCTCTGCTATGCACTCCAGATGTTTCTGGTAAAAATGGACCAGGCTCGCATGTGACCTCACTGCTTTGTTCCTTTTGCTGCCTGCACTGGCTGTACCTCAACAAATCCCAGTTCTACTGTAGAAGACACTGTTGTGATATGCTTAAGCAGTAGCGTGTGTTGTCATGACTCCTTCTATGCCCACCCGAGTGCACAGCACAAACATCTGCTGCAGTTTTTCTAGCTTTTCTTTGCCTTTTGTTGCTACAGCTGTCTATCTTGTACAAGAAGCACATGGCAGATTGCAATTTATCATTAGCAGCTCTCAGCTTCTAAGGCTGAAGCTTCTCCTTCATTCTGCAGCCCCAAGCTGACTTGCTGACAAGAAGTAATGATGAACCATGTGAGATCTCATCTCTTTTAGCTACAATATATCTTCACCAATTCTGATTTCCAGACACTTAATGCAGCACCACAGCAACCTCTCTTAACAAAGGCAAGCCTTCTTGGACTTGAAGATGTCCTTAATAAGATATGTTGAGGTGCATGTCATTTTTGTCATAAGGGGAAAAGATTCTTTGTCCAGATAAAGACAAATGTGTTGTCTGGGAGGAAGGCTGTACCTGAGAAGCAGAGTCAAACTGAACTCAGGGCTCTTAGAGAGTTCCAGTTTTCAGCAGCATGTCTGTCATTGTTAACCTCTTGCTGTTTCAGCACTTGGGTCTTCATACTAAGCTGCTTCTCCTGTGGCCAGGGCTGGAAGGCAATTAGATCAGCAGTCAGTGGGGAACACAACCCAAAGCTCTCTGATGAAAGTTTTTGCCATTTGAAATCCATGACACAAAGTGGCAGCGGAGAAATTAATGAGCAGAAAAGCAGAGCCTTCTCATGCTTTTTTCCCCTTACTAAGTAACAAATAGCATGTACAGATACCAGCTATCTGTTTCACTGTTTGTTATTTTGCCATCTCCACAAATTTTTTCACATTTGAACAGCTTTAAAAAGCAGGGGCTGGATTCTGACCCCACCAGGAAGCACCAGCTCCAGGTACAAAGTGAGAAAGCCTGGAATTGCTTCTTACATGTCTGCGTTGAGACTGAACAGAATCCCAACTCTTGTCTCTCCTCATCTACATAGCTGCTACACAAAAGAAGGATGAGTTGAGACAGTTTCATAGAAATTAAAATCAGTTATCTTTTTTTTTTTTTTGTGGAACCAAAGAGAACTTCAGCATTGATAATACATCTATGAGGTTGTTAAAAGGGAAACCGCAAGTTCTCATTCCCTACCATTTTCTGTAGATACTGCTATGGGCAGAAACATGGCATAAAACAGCAAAAAAGGAGAGATTTGAAAACAGGGACATGGTTCTTTGGGAGAACGCACTGAATAAATATATGGATAAAGTTGCATCCTAAAGGATCTCTATGCAAGCTTTCCCTTGAAGCTTTTTATTGTCCACAGTAAACAGTCATATTTCTTTTTGTCACAGATGATCCTATGATCCTAGTCTATAAATGAAGTGAAAGAGTTTGTTTCTCATGTTTCTTTGATTTTGCAGTACCCTTGGTAAGAGTATAGTGTGGGTTAATTCTCACCTGAGGCAGCCAGCAGTTATCTTTTAAAATCTTCGAAAAACAAACCTATTTTTTACCTAAGGAATCTGAAGCCACAGGCAAAAGTTATTAAACAAACATCAGAACATAACTTTTCAAACACAGACTAGGGATTTTCTACACATTAAATATCCTCCTAAAACCCAGTGTGAAGAAATTTTGTTACAAGCATCATTTCTTTGATTTGTTCTACCTGTCCCTAGGCTCCTGCAAAGAGGAGGTGTCTGCATCCTTTCCTGCTTTCCTTGCTGATTACAAAAGGTTCTTAAACTATGTTTAGGGAGGGGATCTAACTTACAAATACTTCCCATTTTCAGAGCCGAGTTAGATCTTGTCTACAGGAAAGTGAACCCCTGCAGACCCATCCATTCAATCTACCAGACGGGCAATCTGAGCTAGTGCCACAAGGAGGGACAATTAGAGATGTTAATGTTATTATCATGCCTGTGGCAATATTTCCCAAATATTTCCTGCTTTACAGGAAGAGAAGAAACTGTGAAGAGGAAAGACTGGGAGGACTGAAACTGAGAATACCCTATACAACAAGTTTCTGGACCTCTGCATTAAAATCCCTTCCAGGGATGAAATTGTCTGAAGAGGTATATTTACCTGAATGTCACATGTTGATTTCTTCAGCATGCTCAAAGCACATTCACAAAGTCAGTCCCAGAAACTATGGTAGGCCAAGGATGCCCAAGCATGTTATGAAACCATAAACATGGGCATAAAGGCCTGAAGAGTTGTGTGCATAGTGGAAATTACAGAAATTATAGGCACCTGGAGATTTCAGGGCTAGATGACAAGGAACCAACAGACATGTTTAGGTATTAGCAGCTATTTCAATTAGGAGCTTATTCTTTCTTCTAATGTGAGGAAGGATTTTGTTTGTTTGTTTTTCATTTATAATGTTTTTCCGGTTGAGGAGGGTTTAAAATAATGCTAAAATAAGAATTTCTACTGCTGTAGTGAGCATTATAAAATTATGATACAAAGGCAATAAAATTACTAACTGCGAACTATGCAAAGGTGAATAATTTCACCTTCATGTCTCTATGTCTCAGTTCTGCATAATATCTTTTATTTTCTCCCCTCTCACTCAAGAAGAAATGCAATATAGCAGAATCAGAGATCCAACATAAAGATTTACCTGTGTGCTTTAAAATCCCACCAATAGTAAGATAAGTTAGCATGACAACTAAGCCATTGCATATAAGTCATCAAACCTGACCCTTTTCTCTTATACCTGAGATAATCAGGAGAATAATGTTCTCCTGAAGACTGGAAGGTTTCCACTGTAAAATCAATGAAAACAGTACTGACATATTTCGGGGCATAGAAGAGAGAATAAAGCTGTGCATATATTTTGAGACAAAAAAAAAAAAAACAAACAAACAACAACAAAACAAACAACAACAACAACAAAAAAACACATTTCTTATAAAAGGAATTTTCTGAAACTATTTCTGCCTTTGTCTGACATTCCTTCACCAAGTCTTTCGCTCTTCTGTTTATTCTAAGATTGATATGAGATCAATGGCACCAAAGGATGAGCGTGGCATACTCAGGAACTCAGTGTTTTACTCTCCAGTTACTCTGTTATATATTAAAACTCAGCCATATTATTTACAGCTCTCCATATGCAGTGACTAGTAGCTGCTATCTACCCGTATAACCTTTAAGTATTTAAGAGCATATTTAATGTTTATGCATTAAGACATTGCTCATATCAATACTGTTACTCAGAGTTAAGCAGAGATAAATACTCACATAGTATAAATCTGATTAGTTTTACATCCAGGCCAAAATGTACTAAATGCTATATGCATCAAGCTTCCAAATCTCTGTATGAGTCACTGCAATTTCAAAACCTCCCTCTCTGAAAGAGGGCATTGTTTCCACGTGAACTCAGGGTTAACTAGTGGAATTGGGAAGCACAGCAGGAAATCTCCAGCCTGCAATGAACATCTGCAACTACACTGTTGGTAAAGAAGACATGGCTCATTCCATATTTGTCTAGTATACCAAATCTCCATAATTTGTGTTCTCCCAATACTACTATTGGGATCTGTCCACACTTCAATTGTATTTTGTCTGGATGAAACTGCTTCACACCACAGTAAAACAGGTGTCTCATGAGTAGCTGTATCTGGTGCATTTGGCAGTAATTTAAAAATTATGCTTTCATTATTAGCAGTCTATAATCAGCTCATTGCCAATCTGCTCCCCTTGCCCCTCCCCCCATACACACACACCATTTTCTTGTGTGTATGTTTACATATTTTCATATTTTTATATTAAAATCAACCTTTTGTGCCTTATGACAAACACAAGCAACAAAGACTTGAAGAACAGAGGCACACACAGGGGACCAAACAGCTGACTTTGTGATGCCTTAGTAGAAAATGTCTAATTACGGCAGAGTATACATGCCACCAGTGATGGCAATACATTTGTATTAAATGCCTTTGTACTCGCTAGAGTCCTATCATTTATCTAAATGACTATTATTTTCTCTTTTTCCTCAGAGCTTTTATTAAATCTCTAAGCAATTTCAAGCCATTAGCCCACAGATACAGGCTTTATTCAACAAAAATGCATTAGCAGGAGAAAGGCTGTCTGCCTATCTTTGTCTGGCTCTAGTCTTGCCAGGAGTCTCACATCCAAGGGGCACGGTTCTTTGTATCTTGATTGATGCTCCACTCCCTTATTTTTGCTGCCAAGCAAAGTTGTAATTCAAGCCTGGATGATTCTGCTGTCACTTACTTCTGCACACAGTGCCTGTCTTTTTCTGGATGTATTTTAATTTCTGGGGTTTATTTCCATTACTGACAAAATCTGCTCGATGCTGGAGAAACTAATTCCACTGCAAAATAATTGAGAGGAATATCTAGGTGGAAAAGGATCAGGATGAGAAAGGACCTAGTGCAGCTGACCTATATACAAGCCTCTGCTTTTCATCTAGTGGCTGGTGTTGAACAGGGCACAGCTACAGTCATTTCTTCTGCAGGCTGTGTTCTTGTCAACCCGCCTTGACAGATTGAATTGATCATATCCTCTGTGTTCTTCTTGTCTACTTAAATTAAACTATTTGGCCTAAGGACTGCTTTCTCCTGTCTTTAAATACTGCATCAGATGTAGTAGGCGAAGCATTACGTCAGTGCTAAAATGCAAATATTCACTAATATTTTATCTCTTTATTCTGGACTGTTTTGAAAAAAATGTGACAGTAGGACTGGCACAACTCTGGTCAAAACATAGCTCTGATTTAAAGCACCATGCTTACTCACCATTCCATCTCAACCAACAGAAAGCAAAAGAGGATTTACCACATATATATTCTACTAATTATCAGTAGCCATGCACACATTTCCACAGATGCAATGGCTAACTTAGCTATGTTATATCTATTTCCCTTCCGCAAGAGATGACAACCCAAGGCGTGCACAGACACACTGAAAAGAATATGTATATGTAGTAGTTCCTTTTCTGCAAGAGTTTCAAATATATAAACAAAACCAGTTTCCTTTCTCTGAACTTTTCCACTAGTCTTATTAGATCTGCAAATAACAAGAGGGGCATATGGCCAAAGGTTTACGTTGGAGCTCATAAATCACAAGCTGAGCTTTGTACAGTGTCATGAGCATCCAGCATGACCTTTCATCCTCACAGATGAAATGCTGAAAGCAACAATGTACCCTAGAGATGGTTTGAGACTCAAGTACAAGTATAACAGGGGACACGAAAGCACCTAATAGACTGGTAAATTGAAGGAAAACCCTGACCCATCCTTTCATTGACTTACTTCACAAGATTAAAGCAAAGAGATTTCAGAAATTTAAAATGAAGATAAGACACACACCGGAATAAGTTGTGCATCCACAATGACACTGGATAGAAAGAGATTATAATGGCTATAAATCACCGAGACTAAAAAAATTAGAGCTAAAATAGATCACTTCATAGGTCACTTGGTCCATCCAATGGCAGGTTTTTCTATGGATACTATTCTCTAGTGTCTTTTGCCAGTATCTTTCTATAGCCTTTGTGACTTGAGGCAGAAGGTGATCTCCAGATGAGGTCATAAATAAATTATTCCCTGCTGTACAGTACAATTTCCAGAGCATGTCTGAATCAATTTAT